AATTGGTGATTTTAAGTTGGAAAAGTTTGAAAACCCTCTTTGATATATTTGAGGATTTGAGGGTCGAAATGTTATCGGAATTTAGTAATTTTGGTATGGTTAGACTCGTGGTTGAATGGGTTGTCGGATTTTGTGAGTTCCGTCGGATTTCGAGACGTGGGCCCCACGGGCGATTTTGAGTTAAATTTTGGATTTTGTTAAAAAATTAGTATTTTCATATGGAATTAATTCCTATAATTAGTATTGACTGAATTGAATTAACCGTGGCTAGATTCGGGTCGATTGGAGGCCGATTCAAGGGGCAAAAACATTTCGGAGTAGGATTTTGCTCGGATTGAGGTAAGTAATTATTGTAAACGTGGTCCTGAGGGTATGAAACCCCATATTGCACATCGTGGTGCTATATTGAGGTGACGCACACGCTAGATGATTAGCGTGGGGCCGTGCACTGTTGGGGACTGTGACTTAGTCCGTCCCGAATGACTGTTTTACCGCGTATTTGATTGAAAATTTTTTTTGCTATCATCATGTTTTGGGCTGAATGCCATATTTGGGCTTCGTGCCAACTATTTGGACCCTTGGGGGATATTTACTGATATTTCCTCACTATTTTGACTTTATGCTTGTACTCAGTCATGTTATATACTACTATTTTCATAACTCAGCCATGTCTACTCTGTTTTAATACATTAAATGATATTTTAGATAATAATTGGGCTGAGCATCACGTTTTACTGTTGCCCGAGTGGCTTGTGAGATTCTGACTGAGTAAGGCCGAGGGACAGTGTTGTGAGGACACACTGATTATGATTATGAGGCCGAGAGCCTGAGATTATACGCCACGAGGTGGCTTGTTGATTATGAGGCCGAGGGCCTGAGATTGTACGCCACGAGATGGCTTGATATTGCGCTTGGGACGTTAGGGGCCCCTCCAGGAGTCTGCACACCCCCAATGAGTGCGGGTACCCATTGTGACGTGAGATGTAGCCCGAGGGTCTGGTGTTGTTTTATGATGTTGCCCGAGGGGCGAATTTTTGTTGACATTGTGCCCGAGGGGCGGTTCTTTATGTGTTTATCTTTCCTAGTTGCCTGTCATTTACTTGCTTAATTGTTAAAAAGGCATTTTCAAGAAGTTTAAACTGAACTAAAGTGACTTCACATATTTCCACTGTTTCATTGTTTTTACTGCTTCTTTATAGCCTGTTGGTGTGCCTTTACATGATTTCTTATTACTCAGACTGCATTTATTATTATTACTCACTGAGTTGGAGTACTCACTTTACTCCCTGCACCCCGTGTGCAGATGCAGGAGCATCGGATCCTGCTTGCGAGGGTTGAGAGCTGTCCAGCAGATTTTTGGAGATTCACGAGGTAGCTGTCCGGCAATTCGCAGCCTAGTGCTTCTCCCTCTATCTTATTTTTCCTCTGTTTTAGTTATGTAATAGTTGAGTAGACTCTTTCAGACTTATAGTATTGTTATAGATCCTCATGACTGGTGACACCCCGATGTCGGGCTCTGTCTTTTTCCGCAAACTATATTGTTTACCTTGGATTTTTATTATTATGTTAAGACTTGGTTTTATTACTTAATTGCTTAAAAATGAATTAGGAATGTGTGGGCTGGCCTTGTCTTCACGAGAGGCGCCATCACGACCGGATCCGAGTTTAGGGTCGTGACATCATTGGGATGATTATGATTATTTGTCCTTCCCTTCCCCAAGCCCCTCCTATGATGATTCTACTTTTTGTGATGAAAATTATAGGGCGATGGAAGTGGATAGAAGTTGAACATGGTCAAAATGGAGAGTTCAAGCTCATGTTAGAATGCCTACTTGAAGGAGGAAACAAAGAGCAAAGTGCCTTGGAGGAGCTTTTGGAAAATAGTCTCCAAAATGACTTGGCACTTGAAAAGTTGCACTCACAAATGGGAGAAATGCTTGAAGCTTTAGAGGTCCAAAAAGCCTCGGAAGTTAATGATAGCCAAGAATTTTCCTTAGATGTGGAAGCCGAAAATCCTTCCTTGACACTTGATCAAAACCAAGAAGAACTCTCAAATGCTCAAAATGAGAAGATGATGCTCATGTTGGAGACCATTCTTTAAAAGAGGAAAAGCAAAACTTTGCACTCGAAGACTTGAAACAAAGCTTGACTCACAATGATGAACATATCCGCACTTTGGAAGCTCAAATGAAAATATTGGTTGAGGCTCACTATGCCCACCAACTTGAGAGTGTGGAAGGAAGTCAAGAAGAGTCCGATTTCGAGGAAGAAAGTGAGCTCTACTTTGAGGAATCAAGACTTGAACATCCGCCAACCGACTCCATTAGTGTTAGTGATGCCAAGAAAAATATGAAATTAGAGTCAACCGGTGTAAATGAAAATTTGTTTGAGATTGACTCTAGTCCAGGGGAAAAAGAGGATGTCAAAATCCGGGAAGAATTGCAATTTGGAGGGTTGATGTCACATTCCAAGCATTTTTCAACATTGGAATTGTGTGGTGAAATGGGAATTGAACTACACGAGTCAATGAGGGATTACGAGAAGAAAAGACAAAAGCCATACATTTTACAATTTGAGGGACCAAGAAGGCAAAATGACATTCCTCACATGAAAGCCAAGAAGTGCAAAATGAAGAAATTAAGTCTTGGCTTGATCATCTACTTACCAACCCCCACCGCTCGTGGTCACAAGCTTGATTCCAAGTTGGGTGCCCAATTCAAATCGTCCAAGTGGCGAGAAAATACTTGAAAAGTGGAACTGTTTTCGAAAAACTATGAAAAGGCTGAGCACTTTATCTCTGAGCTATCTCTTTATTCATTTGCTTTACACTGTTATAAACTACTATTGGTTATTGGTGTTGGACCCGACCTATGTTCCAGCTCGTCACTACTTTCAACATAAATTTAGGTTTGTTACTTTTTGAGTACATGGGGTCGGTTGTACTCATACTTCACTTCCTGCAGATTGCGTGCAGATTTCGGATGCTGATGTTGTTGTGTTCGACGGAAGCTTGATTGGAAGATGTACCTGTGTCCCGGTTGTAGCTGTCTCTTGTTCATGGTAGCCTTAGATTATATAACTCTGTTTATGTACTTTCCAAACAGAAGATGTATTTATTTCCTATCAGTTTTTGAAATCTCTACTCTTAGAAGCTCATGATTTGTCTACTAGTCCTTGGGAAATGTAACAGATCCGGATAATTTATTTTGTTTAATTGACTTATTAGCAATATTGAAATTGAATTAGTTAGTAGTTTGCTTACCCAGCAGGTTAGGTTAGGTGCCATCACGACTAGTAGATTTTGGGTCGTGACATATGGATATGGGTGCGGGAATCCGGCTAAAAATAATTCAAAAAAATAAAAATATCTTTAAATTATGAGAAATTTTGTGGAATACTTATATATAGCTTGTAAAGTGTGAATTTCTTTTTTATTCTCAAGTTGTAGATAGGTAAAGGATTAATTTCCTCGATAAGGTATGTTATTTTCTTTGAATTTACCCTAGTTTTGTTCTGATTCCGAAATCAAATTGTATCTCGTCTGGAATTTTTCCATCCGTCGGGGTCAAAGTACCCAAAATTGTTTAATCAGATTCGGTACGGATCTCACACCCATACTAGTGTCGTGTCGACACTGATGCGGCACCTAAACTGCCGTGTCGAAGCAACTTAGGTTGGGAGTTCCAATCTTCACAACCTTTTATCCCATATATATACAGCTCTGTCCCCACATAATTATTTACTAAATTTGAAGTTTCACCGAACCTTCTTAATTATCATCGTACACTGCTTCTTGCTTCATAAGATAATCTTACTACTAGCTTATTTGGATGGGCTTATTTTAAGTGACTTTTAAGCCAAAATAGCTTTTAAGCCATAAGTTAGGAATTCTAGCTTTTGGCTTTTGGCTTATTTTTGTCATTTTAGCTTAAAAACAAGTGCTTAAAAACACTTTTTTACTTTATCCAAATACTACAAAATGACTTAAAAGGTATTTTGCTTAAAAGCACTTAAAATAAGCCAATCCAAACGGGCTCTACAACTAATACAATTACGCCTCAGTCCCAAAAAGTTGGGATCGGTAATATGAATCTCACTTATCATGTTGCTCCATTTAAACTCATCTCGTGCCAACTTCATAAGATAATCCCGTTGCTAAAACTAGTTTGTTTTCCAGTGTTTTCGACATTCTCCAGCCTTCTTTACTGAGTGCTATAGGTTGAATAGGTGCCAAGTATCACATTTGAGTGTATGGAAGTAAATCAGCTCCAGTTCATGTGTTGTGGCCCCGGTTATAAATACAAAGGAATCACAGAGGCACCAATACATATGGGCTGCCCAAATATAAAAATCTAGAGAGTTGAGAAGAAGTCAAAAACCCTACAATATTCATGAGCAGAAGCATTTTTTTGAACTAGAAAACCTATAGTAAATCTCAAGGTAGCTAATCAAATTGAATACTAACCACCCAAAATAATTAATGAAAAGGAAGGATAGGAATAGGATTCGTTCTGGACCTTCCAAAATATTTGACAGTTGCTGAGGGGGTCCCTCAATTTTCAGTATTACAGAAACCTTTCAGCATGGAATTTCTTTTGCTGCTCACTTAGCATTACTCGCATAGAATACGGAGCGAAACAGTTTATTTGGGATCATTTATCTTATTCATCAGTAATCCTATCAAATTTGTTTCATTAACTCTAATTGGTTTTAGTTATTATATCTCAGTGATAAAAGGGCAGCCCGGTGCACTAAGCTCCCGCTATGCGCAGGGTCCGGGGAATGGCCGGACCAAAAGGATCTATTGTACGCAGCCTTACCCTGCATTTCTGCAAGAGGCTGTTTTCCACGCCTTGAACCCGTGACCTCCTGGTCACATGGAGGCAACTTTACCAGTTACGCCAAGGCTCCCCTTTATCTCAGTGATAAAAAAAATTCAATAATCACTTATTTAAGATATTATAATCGATTTCTATTATGAAAACCAAACATGACCTTACCATTCATAGCCAACAGGATTACATAGAGGAAATAGTATCGTAGAGCTGTTGAAGCTTCTCCATCACTCCACTTGCGACCATACAGCAATCTGACGAAAGAGTAGGAATAGCTAGGGCCAAAGGCCATGACAACCAAACCTACAAGAAAAGCAGTTTTGAAAATGAAGATAAGCCATTTAGAGTCTAATTCATTTTGAAAAACCTAAGAGCCAAAATGAAATAGAAATTTACCAAGTTTTTCAGTGTAATAAATACAAGCAGCAAGTGAAGCATCACGTGTGCCAATTTATTGTTTGAGGCATATTTATCAAAAAGAGAAACAATTAGTTTGAAGCATATGGTAATGATGCTGATAAACCGAGCAAATGCCCCAGCAAAAGCAAGCCTAGAGAACGTATCATATTTTGGAAGCTGCCTATTTCAGTGGCAGCCAGGTAGCAAGTCTTCCACACATTTTATAGTCTTAGTTGAGTCTTAAATGCTGAGTCTTGTACATCGGCCTCCATCTTTCGAGGCTTTCATGTACCATTTTTTTTTCCTTAGGTAGATTGTGAATTTGTCGCCACACTAGTCGTGTGCCCAAAAGAAGATATTTTTAGTTCAGGGTTTTATTAGCTTCAAGATTTAGTAGTCCATTACAAAAAATGCCACTTCTGCAATAAAGATCGGCATAGATTGAGTTTGGATCCATACAGAGTTGAGGAGAGTTTTTTTTCTGGGGGGTAACACAGAAAGAGTTCTTTCTTCACATTACCATAATGGCACCAACAAGGTGCTACATTTAACTTTACAAAAGATTTCATCTTTAGAGCTCCCAAAAAATTCATAAAAGTGTCTAAGCAATATACATCTTTCTGTTTGCCTAAAAAACGCTTAAATAACAATGCTATACTCTAGGAGTGGCAAACGGACAGGTCAGGTTGGATATGGTTCATGTCGAAAACGGGTAATGAGAAAACGGATAAATTATCCAACCTGACCCATATTTAATACTGATAAAAAACGGGTTAACCGGCGGATAATATGGGTAACCATATTATCCGTGACTTCTTGCATATGATCACTTTTGGAAGAATTTTTAGTATCCCTAACTTGAGGAACTCCCAATTTGAGGCTTTACAAATGTAAAAGTTAGACTCATTGGTTATCCATTGGTTATCCATTTTCTAAATGGATAATATGGTTATTATCCATATTTGACCCGTTTTTAAAAAGTTCATTATCCAACCCGTTTTTTAGTGGATAATATGGGTGGTTAACTGTTTTCTTTTAACCATTTTGCCACCCATACTTTACTCTATAGCTTGTCCTTCAAACATCTCGTATTTCTCATTCCAAAAAACCCATATGATGCGAAAGGGAGAAATGTCTCGCATTTTTCTGCCATATCATACAGGACTGTATAAAGAGTAATTAACAACGACAGAGAGGATCCTTACTCTTATTTTGATGCAGTACTCATATTCGAAAGACTAGGTTGAATTCCTGTAAGAAAATACATCGCTTCCTATGCATGTGCATCAGACATACCGTATAAGTTGTCAGAAGGTCGATGATTAGCACCCACAATGTTTACCAGTAGAATCATTTCCAAAAACACATGACATCATTTGCACACTGATGTCAATAATTTTGTAAAACTGGATTAGAGAAGTCTTGCCAATGTTTGCTAAGACAACAGGTCAGGGAAAATTGAGACTTTGGTAAAACTACTAGAAAATGTTGATTATGAGCCAGTAGGATAAGTAAATGTAGGTAACGACGAGTCCAGCTCTATAGCTACAGCGATTTCCAAAACAGATGCAAAAAATAAATAAACAAATAAATAAATAAATAAAAATGAAAAAGAGAAGATCAAAGTAATGTTGAAGCAAGTTCAATTATGTAAAATGTCATAGTTACCTATTAGTAAAACAAGTTTCAAAGCCTCAGTCAAACTTTTTCCCAATTTCTTTTGCTTCTGCGTGTCTTCACCTGTCAAAACAGTGAAACAGCTGAGGTATCAAATTGAGTGACAGAAGAAAGTCATTAGCATAAAGTTAAAATTTTGGTTTACAGCTTTGTGGTGGCGACAAACCCCAATAATGCAATATCAGAGACAAGGTTAAGTAAATGGTAGCAAGTTTGGAGATGAAGCTGTAAGCCATGGCTGAAATATAGCTATTCATTGGGTTTTGGTGCACTAAACCAGAATTCTTGGAGAATACAGTATCAATTTCTGTCATCAAGTCAAAGAAGCTTTTTAGGAAAAATAAGATGGCCTTTTGCCTTTTGCTATCAAAGATACTTTTTCTTCAAATACCCGTTTTTTTTAAAAGATTAAGATCGAAGGCCTACAGATTGAGATCCTGGAAGAGGTTAAGTCAGACAAGTGCACAGTACATTCATGTTACCAAATAACCTAGTTCATGAGAGTAATAAACCAAGCAAAATTCAGTTAAAAGAAATAAATACACCAAGTAGCATCAGAAAATAGTCAAAAGCAATAGTTCATGTAGGTTGTTATGGTTAAAGAAAAAGATAAGCTCAATTATCTATTTCTTAGCTTCTGTGCAAAATCCTGAAAAGTCAAACCAGAAATGTAAAACATGCCGACAACTAGTAAAAACCAGTAAACCTTCGGTTCAGAAGTATTTCTTAATATGCATGCATCACTTGAGGAACCACCATTCTATCTGCGTCTTGTCTTTCAATAAGGCATGAAAAACTTCCATACGAGCCAATCAATAAATCATGTTAAGAACAGGATCTGTAGGGCGAAAAGAGGTATGTAGAAGGATGATTATTTGTCATTTCCCTGTTTGGTAAGTAAGCAAAAATGGGTCATCTAACCTCCCAAATCTAGACAGAAAAGGAGGAATTCTTATATCTTTTACTCCTAATAATTGTGTGTCAGAATATATGAACAATAGTGCAACTAAGGAAGTAACTTAATGAATTTCCCCCTCCTTGCACTTCCCCTCCCCCTTGTGAAATCAAATTAGCATTAGTCACCATGACAACAACTAAGCAAGATTTAGAAAAACATATGAATTGAAAAAATAAAATGACTAAATGAAGTCCTATAACCAACAAGAGTCCTAAGAGGAAGGCGAATAAACCTGATGCAGACCTTGCAAATGTAGCATATGAACTTTCTTCAAATGGGAGAAATACCAGCCTAACCACTAAGCTGCCTGAAAAATCAATTTATATGTTTGTATCCGGTAAAAAATATGACCTGTTTAAGCAATATGCTGCTTTGTTAAGAAAGGCCGTAAGTAGAAGGTAATAATAGTTAGCTAAAGCATACCTAGTTTGTCCACAAGCCCATATACTGCTTGGTTATATGGTGTGTCCAACCACACAAGAACCATCTTTTCTCCTTCTTGAAGAAGCAACTTGCGGAAAGATTGAAAGGTAAACAACATACACATTTTCGAAAGTTGCTCATCAATGCCTCCATTTCCTACACTAATAGGGTGTTGACTGTCAAATAAAATAAATTCCAATCACAAGAAGAAAAGGACTTTCAATATAAGAGAGGAGGGCAGAGAGATTTTGTGAGCAAAGTCAAAAAATTGCTAGAACCAAACCAGAGCAGGCTTCCACTCATTCCTTTGTATTTCTTCACGCCCCAGTCACCCCCACTTCAAAAGAAAGAAAAAACTCCATTCTCATAAAAAGATGACTTTTTTTCTTTAGGACCAATACAGATGCACTAAGTGCATCTACTACCACCTGTCTCTCTCCATCTCTCTCTCTCTCTCTCTCCCGCCTCCCTCTCTCTCTCTAGGTGTTTTTGTGCTTTGTCTGTACGTCTGCTATAAGCACCATCTTGTGCCTTACTTTACATATCACTTATCAAAAGAAAATATGAAGCGTATAACATGCATGCGAACAAAACAGGATGAGTAAACATTAGAATTCTTACCCAAAAGGGAAGAGCTCAGAACTGCTATACATGTGAAAAAGAAGAAAGTAGCCCCAGTAGCCAAAGAACACACATGCTCCAAATGCGGCTTGTGAGAAGGCAAATACAATTGCTTTCTCCTGAAAGTAAGAAATCCTAATCTTAAATATGGGTATTATGCTTTCTCAGGAAGATTTGACCACAACTAAACCAAATTCATCCCTGCAAGTAACTCATGCAGGCATATAGACCTAGGACATGGAAAAAATAATGCGCAGATTTTATTGAAAGATCGTCAAATTAAATAAAAAAGGAACTACAGAAGATAAAAACTCATTCACCTACCAGAAATGGTGGACCAAAAATTAAATAAGTAAATGGAATCATGTCTTTCAAATTAAAATTATCAAAGGAAGAATGTGTGAAATAAGGCATGATGGATAACTTTACTGAAAGCCACCAAATATTTACTGTACTGGCAGCTCCTTCTAGCAATTGAAATTACCAGAAGCATCACGGAGATGCAACCAAGTACAAAAGTAGGGTCCTTTCAAGAAATGACAGCATCTAATAAAGTCCATCAGAGAATTACATCACTTATATGTTTAAGATTACACCAAAACCTAGATTAACTAAACATTAGCCTTCAAACTATGTAGATGGGTGGCATAACATTGTTTCTGCACACATTCAATGGTCAAATTGGCATTTCATCAAAGCCATTGTTTAGGACTAAACTTCGTAAATTAACGCAATATGATTACTATTCATAATATAATTCAATCCTCAAGAGGTATATTATTCCACTGAGCAACAATAGGATCCATCTTTTGCATAAACAATTTAAGGCAGAACTTCATGTTATAAAGAAAAGCACATAACAGTAAACTCACTTAAAATTTACCGTAATAAAGATAAAAATAAAAACTGAAAACTATAAAAGAGTAAATAATGAAGACGATCAGTAGTTGTTTACCATGCCAGGTAGCTTTACAATGAGGATGTAGGTAGCTATGCATCGTGAAAGGGTAGCTGCACTTTCAACAATCAGACGCAACTTAAGGAGAAGCAAATTCTGGGATAAAATGTAAAAGGGTTCGGCTAGTAGCTCCAGTATACATGCAAAACCTGATCAATGGAAATAAAATTTCCAATAAAAATAGAAAAAGTCAGACGAGAATTTTTCCCCAAAAAGTCACGCCAAAATCAACTTCAGGGACAATCCAATACGTCATATATTCAAGTCTCAAACCTCCAACCAGATGTAGGTAGAAGAAACGGTTCTACGCAGGCCAGGATTATGTTAAAATCACTTTGAAGCCAAAGACATACAGCCAACGACATGACTTCAGAAGCGCATACATACAAACCCTCACAAGTGACAGTTCAAAAGCCGAAAACAGATGCAATCATTTAACCATGGAAAGCATAGGATGCTATCATTTAACCATGGAAAGCATAGGTTTCCTGACTCATATTGATAACCAGCTTGTAGAATAGGGACGCGACACAATGCTTTAAAGACTGTATATCAAAGTTTAAGCTCACCATTTATCCATATAGCCTGTGCGTATTGACTAGAGTAACTTAGTTCTTGCCACCACATAACAAAAAGACATCCCGCAAATGTGACAATTATTCCCAAAGGGAGGGTCATCCATGCTACTTTCAACAGTTTTGCTACATTTTCTCTCCTTGATGATCCGCCACTGCAATTTAAACACAATGACTTCCAAACTTCAAAAGCAGATCCAATACATATGTAGGTATATTTATATATATTTCTAACGAAAGTCTCAAAGAAGAAACAGAATGACAGAAACAAAAGATAAAAGAACCTTCATGTACTCGTCCCGCTGGCACTACACAATGTCAAACCAGATAGACTACACCCTCTATTTGCTTAACTTTAGGGGTCTGTTAGCTAATTGAACTTTATATTAGGAGTGCCATCTGAATGGTCAAACATCTGACATATGGTTTTCTAAAATGTCATATCCTCTAGCCCTGTCTCACATATTTATTCTGAGAACTCAAAACCTTAACCACATATTTGTTGTCGTCTTTGTCAAAAACCTCTAGAAAGTATCAACTGATTATCCACGTTGTCACAGACGTGGAAGTCCTTCACCAGATAGGCCGTTTACATTTTTTATGTCAATGCTGAGAAAAAAAAAGTGAATTTTGTGGAGAAGACAGGAAAATATAAAAGCAAGTGGATGATTTTACAAACTTTTTGAGCTCTTTGCAACTTAAATGGAAATCTTTGGTAATACACCTACCTGGTGCTTGTGTAAGTACAAATACAGTATGTTCTTTTTAAAGAAGTTATAATCTGGAGATTAGTTTCACCACTATTCCAATTGGTAAATAACAAGCATAATTAGGTATAATGTGGATCACATAAAACAGATTTCATAATTTCCCGACAAAACAAAAAAGAGCATTTTATTGACTATGACCATAACAACTTGAAGCAAAATATATGCTTATTACACGAGATAAGCATTGAACTCTTTAATTTCAATATAGAGAGACGGAGTTGCAAATGCTTCTATTGATTTGATAATTTTATTTATTGAAGCTAAAGAACAAACTAAAAGAAGCATGAAAAAAACTCCAATAGTACCAATAAATGTCAGCCCTCATGCATGCTCGCCTGAAGCCCTCTCGACTAAGAAAAAGCACACAAGTAATAAACAAGTGAAATTGTACAGCATACAACTGCATGATGCACAAAAATAGATGTTAGACAAATTCCTGTACATAAAACCAAGAAGTCAGGCTGAAAAGTACAATAAAGTATCTGAGTTAATTGGTAACATGTTCTTGAACTCAAATCAACACAAACATCAAAGAACATTATGGTGAATCGATATGGTACATGTCAATGCAGATGTTGTGTTGTCTAATAACAACCAATCAGCCACAAAAGCTTATCCAAGAAAAAGGAAAGAAAACCAACTAAAAGCTTACGGCAAGAAAAAGTAAGAGAATTCTTCTCATTCTATAATCCACCTTATTTGGTTGACTTCTCCCTATTTTCGTATTTCCATGGAGAAGCAGATGTTGCCATCTTTTATAATTCAAATATAATATCAACGCAGTAGCGCCAATAACTAAATAAACTTACTATGGAACCTCTCCAGCAAACTATTACATACTTCAACTACTATTTCAGAATATATCCGAAATACTAACTCTAATACAACGACCAATTCATACTTTCGTTTGTTCAACTTGGATCACCTGTTCGGGCTTACAAACTTCTATTCAATATAATATAATATGAAATACCACGAAATGAATAACAGTTTCCCTTTTCTTACTTTACCTATAGTAATCTTTCCAAATGTTGTATTCTCACCGCCAAGAAGAGTACAACAAGTGAGAACAAGCAACTGCAAACCAACTTATTAACAAAATTGCACCTACAAATATATTGATATATACAGGAAACAACAAAAACAACAAAACTTCAATCCCTAACTAGGTGGTGTCGCTTATAAGAATCTTCTACATTCAACTTTTTTCATAAAAGTGGTGTTGGGGCTAGCTTAGCGCACCTCAACTACTCTATTTGGTACCTGCTACCTCCCACTACTCATCAATAGAGGTGCTGTATAACTCTACCCACCAAATCTTAGACGTATTGAAAGAAATCACTAGCATTTTATGTGTCCGCCTGTATTTGAACGCTGGTCTCCAAGGACCACGGTTCAAATTTGCGATTACAAATATATTCATCTACATAAAACAACAAACATTCAATCATGAACTAGTTGGCATCGCTTATAAGAATCCTCTATATTCGTTTTTTATAAAGGTGGTATCAGGCTAGCTTGAGTGCACCTAGTCTATTTCACTGGATACCTGTTACCTACACCGGTACAGGTACCTACCAACGCTTAGGCAGATGGGAAGAAATCACCTAACATTTATCATCTACCAAAGACCAGGGTGCACCCACTTCATGATGGCAGGAACGGAGCTAGTCTTTGAGTACGGGTTCGGCTAAACCTAAAAGCCTTGGTTTAAACCCTATATTGTCTTAAGAAATTCATTGAATATGTATAATTATTGATCGCTAGGCCATATGATATGTATAAATTATATATATATATATATATATATATATATATATTGGTATATATAGTATTAAATAAATAAATATTTTACTTTTATTTGTATAATTTTCTTTCAATATTGGTACAAATATATATTAAGTATTGCAGGGAAAGAAAAAGAAAAAGAAATAGAAAGAAGAACAAAGAAAGCAGAAGCAAAGACAGAGGGCCAAGGATTACATCCTCCATCCAGGGTTGTCATCCATGAGAAGAGAAAGTTGGAGGAAATTGAGTTTAAGAATAGAGGATGGCATCCCAGACCAAGAATGACATCCCATGTTGGTGCTGAAGACCAAGAATCGCATCCCCAATCTGAGGATGGCATCCTTGAAGTTTATGGTTTTCTTTTCCTATAAAAAGAAGCATGACTTTCAGTAGAAATGGGGCAGCGAGAGAGAAAGAAGCTATTTTAGTTTACAACTTTGGCATATCTTTAAGTTTTGAAAGTATATTTTCTTCTCAGAAATAGTAAGAATTTTAATCTTTTTAACTTTTCCTATTTTTCTCCATGGAGTAATTTTCTTTCAGTTGAGATAAGTGGAGAAGCTTGATATATTATTTTAATGAAAATTTCAATCTTTTTATTATTCTTGAGTGAGAGTACTTCTTTGTTAATATTTACATCAAGATTAATGAATATATATTAGTCAACTTTATCATATCCACATATTAAATGTTATAATATTCCTTGTATTAATCTTTGCAATCGAAAGAAGCAAGAATTAAACAGGGATAGTTATAGCTAGATATGTTCGTGTGATAATTTGAAGTAATTATATTTAATTACTTAAAATTCTTTATCTTGATTTCTTGAGTTTTCATTCGAAAGAAGAAAAATCAGTTAGCCAAGTTAGAGGATTTAACTAAAGGCTTTATGTTTATATGATGTACTCATTTAAGATAAGCTATTTTCTATGTCAATACTATGAGTCTTTTGTTTTATTATGCTAATCGAAAGAGGCGAAATTAAATAAAAGACATGTGGTAGAAATATTATTTGTTAATTCAATTAATGTGTGGCTTAGAAAATAAGACTTTCTAAAACTCCATTATAATCTTATATCAAGTGGATGCACAAAATCTCAACTCCTTTAACTTACAAAATAAAAAACAATTGTTCTTGTTTTCAAGTAGATTATAAATTCAACCATTTTCACCGAATAGACTCTCTTAAATAGTAGGCTGGATAATACGAATTTGTAGCATAGATTCTCCCATCTCTGTGGACGGTATCATAAACTATACTATAATTTGACAAGTACGAGCGAGAAAATCACATACGCCCAGAGCTCATCAACATACCCTTGGGATCTTCTATATTCAATCTACTTTATTTGGGCTCATTTTATTCCAATGCTCAATAATTTACTACAACAACATACCCACTATATTCCCACAAGAGGGGTCTGAGGAGTGTATACCATACCTTACCCCAACCTTGTGCGGGTAGAGAGTTGTTTCCGATAAACCCTTGGCTCCCTTGGCTCAGAGATGCTCAATAATTTGTCTTTTTAAACTCAGAAACACCTTCTAATGGATCACTTACTCTATGGGAATATGATAATTACTGAGAATTACAAAAGTTAAAATTTAAAAAAAAAAAAGATGGATATGATATAGAACAATGATTAAATTAGAATATCACCGCATAATCTTCTTCAGTGAGGCGTCGAACGATCCAAGAGTTGAATATGAATGGTATTCCCCTTGATAAAATTTGAGTAGCTACATATATAAACACATTACTTAACAAATATGTGAAATTGAACGAGGATACATAAAGTGAGAAGAAAAATTAACTGACCGAGCAAGTACTTGAATGTGTGAGATAAATTCGCCGGACGCTCTCCATTTTCACTTGATTTTGACATTGATTAAACTGTTTCTCTTCTGTTATGTCGATTGATTAAGAAAGTTTATGAGCGTGAAATGCAATTTGGGTTGTTGAACGGCTCGACGTGGTTTATATAGTGTGTAATTGAACCGGGTTTATATGAAGGAGTTCTACTTAACCCCTTGGAGTTTTCTGGGAAATGTTTACAGGGTTATATCAATTCATACTTAGATTAGGTTAATTAAATGTAATAGTGATAATAGTCTATAAAAGACATGCATCATGGATTTTTTAAATTTGTGTAAATATTGAATAAATTTTTGTATTGAGTTCTTTTTAGAACTTCTACGTAAAAAATTTAAAATTTTAATTTTCAAGCCCTACTCTAATCTATCTCGGTAAGTACTTATCCCGATATGATGTTTATACCATTATGATAAGTATATGACACATGTCTTCACAAATATGATTATCTAAAAACTATAGTTAATTGATACATATTTTCACCATAATTTATTATTTAATCTTGATAAATTAATATAATTTAATGTAAATATCAGGTGCCGAAATTTTTTACTATCTCAGCTCATTGTACTAAGGCAAACTACTAAGAAAGCTAAAACCGCTAAGCACAAAAGGAAGAGCTAAAATAAATTAGTGATTTCTTCATTCATGCCTTCCAAGTGTGATTACAAAGCTAAAGTAAATAGGCCAAGGGAAAAGCAAAGTGCACATGGATTGCTCCTACAAGTATAGGACAAGCCTCCAAAAGAGGAGTTAAACGAAACATTTATGGCTTTGCTATTGCCTTCTGCTGATTGTAGTGACATGGTCTCTTGCTTAAAACCGTATCCGAAGAGGAGAAATATGGTCCATTTTGTTTTGTTTATAACTGTGGTGTCCAAGGCAAATTGCGATAATGATAAAAACTTATACCAAAAATTGATTGCAAGACGTGTCTTTCATATACACCTTAACCATGGTTAAATAATGCATATTCTCACTTTAATTTTTAACTATTAAAGTTAACTAAAATGGTTTGGTGCAAATACACAGTGCGAGTAAGTATTTAGCCCTTGACGATTCCACCAAGCACCTGCTACCTCCTACCAGGACAGATACCTGCTTTTGCTTTATTTGCATTGTAATGAGAGGAATTTCTCCAATCATTACATAGCTGCATAAGATGAACAAAACAGAAAAGAAAAGAAAACAATGACTGAAATGGTGACCAAGAAGTGAAATAAAATCAACGGCACTTCAAGGATTGTTTAGGTAATTAAAGTTTTGGGCAGTTGACAAGCAAATCGCTCATACAATTTTGCTATGATATACCAATTGAGACCAAGAAAATCTTAATAGAATTTCTCTGTACAGGAAGNAGGATTGTTTAGGTATTAAATTTTGGGCAGTTGACAAGCAAATCGCTCATACAATTTTGCTATGATATACCAATTGAGACCAAGAAAATCTTAATAGAATTTCTCTGTACAGGAAGTCAGCATATCCACTGAAATTAGAAATCTAACCAAATGTTTACCTACCAAGCGTCCAAGACATACACCAAACAAAAGAAACCTCTCTAGATTAACAAGGTAAAGTGGTCTTAGTTAGCTCAACTAAATCTATTGTTCAAGAGGAAATCAACATCAGGAGTCACAACAGCTCGCTTGCTAATTTCTCCAAGTTGACAACAGTGCTTCTCGACAGTATTGATTGCGACAACATCTTGAGAAAAAGAGCAATCTACACCAGGAGAAACCTGCAAGTAATTCCTTGCTGTTAGAGGAGTTTCATATCGAAGACAAGTTACAAGCTACTGCATCTGGAGAAGCATATGCTGGAGACGTAAAAAATGCTTTGACAGTGGTTCTGTATAGGGTCAAATTTGACCCTCAGCATCTCTACGCCAGTGGGTGCGCCCAGTGAGTGTACGACGACTAACGTAGCGGGTACGACTCGGACGTGGGGACAAAAGCGACATCGTTTAGGACTCAGTGTTTTCACTAGGGAGACGTTACCTGTCTTTGTAACTTTTTGATTCTTTCGAGGAAGGTCTCTTATTATATAAAGGAGACCTTCACATTGTAAAAGGGGGATTCGGATCTAATACAACTCTCTCATTTTCTGGCTTTCTCTCTCTATCTCTACCTCAAACGAACATATCTTACTGAGTTCATATTATCACTTTGCAATACTAGATCTACCACAATAATATCATCTTTGCATCTCTAGGTTTATTATATTTGATTACGATTTACCCTTTTCTTACTTTTGATTGTTTTCTAGCTTACAAAGTATATTGTTAACTTTTGAGCCAAACAATTTGGCGCCGTCTGTGGGGATTTCGAGAATCAAAACCATAGTATCCACCTAGAGATCAACCAACTACCACTCTCTACACCACACAGAAACAGAAAATGGCCGAAAATAACACAAGATCGAAAGCGATATTGGGTGTCACTACTAATCTCCTTGGCCCTCTCAACGAGGCCAGTGACGATGGCATCCCGAATGAGCATCACACCGGGTGCAGAGATCTCACCTTCCCCATCCGAAGGTCTGACGATCTTGCACGAAAAGGGAGCTTCCACATCTGCGGCTACAGAAGCATCCTCAGCGGTCAAGGAGCTACTGGAAAGATGGCTAACAAGCACTCTAAGCGGCTTGGTTGAGAGGTCACCACAAAGTAACATCGGGTGTACACCAACGGTAGGTATCACTGCTGCCGTGGGTGAACCGGAAGTTGCACTAGCTAATGACAAACCCATCGAGACACAGACCAACGATAGCACGCTAACAACCATCCTAAAGAAGATGGAAGAAATGGAAAATGAAAACAAGGCGCTCCGCAGTCAGATGAAGGAACATCAGGAGAGGGTCGACAAGATCTCCGGTGCTCCCAAGTTGCTACCAAAGCGCGACGTGGGAAGGTTCGTTGAACAACCATACGCTGAAGAAACGCCATCAAGTCGCAAGTACTTGTCGACTTCATAGCCGACTTCAGCGCAGAGATACTGCCAGAGGCGGAACTAGAGGCACGCCGTGCCCCCTCCAACGCCGACCTATGGACTCTTTTCACTGATGGCGCCGCTAACGCCTCGGGGTCGGGACTGGGACTCGTTCTTGAGGTCCCCACGGGCGAAACAATTCGCCAGTCCATACGATGCCCCGAGATGACTAACAACGAAGCCGAGTACGAGGCTGTTATTGCAGGTTTAAAACTAGCCATCAAGTATGGAGCTCGAC